TAGATTATATTAAAATTTAAAATTTTTAAATAACTAACTTTGGAACCCCAGAATAGTTAATTAATATATTCTGGGGTAGGAGGGTATATTCAGCTGATAAATATTAGTTCCCTTATTTTTTTACAAAATTTTTTTTGAAAAAAAGTGGGGCCAACAAGAGTATATAAGGTTCTTCTTATAAGTTTTATAGTTGTATAGTCTATTTCTTTGTCTCTACTAGATATTCTTGATTAGAGACTAATAGGTCTTAACATTGTTTCTAGAATAAACCTTCTGGTTTGAATACCAAATATACAAGGAAGTCTATTAAAAAGAAAACTTAATCTAAGGCACAAATCTATCTAATATTTTTATATATTTGCTTCTCAGTGTTTCACATATTATAGGCTTCATTGACAACAAGTTTGCTTGTGCAAAACCAAGAATATTGTTATATTTATTTTATCATTTTTTATATTGCTAACTGTAGTTTAGTAAATTGTTGTTGACTAGAGGATTGTTAGTAAAACAAACTTGATTAAATTAATTTTATTGTTTTTTCTATATCTCTGTTTTATTTTATATATAGTTTTTTTCTTTTTTCTATAAGAAGATATCATCAAATTGACAATATTTTATTGTGAGATGATAACCAGACAAGTTGTTCTAGGTTTGTGATTTGTCTAATATAATGGTTGTTTAAAAATACTTAAATGATAAAAGAATTTCTTATAAATATTAATTTTAGTTATATGTAGCTTAAAAAAATAATTGTGAAATATCAGATTTAGATATTAAGCTAAATATTTTATAATAATTTATATGAAATAATTTTAATAAAGGATTATTGACAAGGCTATTAAAATAAAAAAATATATTTCTAACACAACTATAAAAAAAAAGCTAAACAAAACATCTCAAAAAAATTTAAAATTTTTATAATATAAGTTAAAATTTTAGCATTATTTTGATATTAATTAGTTTTTTTATACAAAATATATTTAGTTAAATGGGTTTAATAAAATACATTATAGATGTTAAACACTATAATTGCTATATCTCAAAAACATACTAGCTAACACATCTTTGGAATATTAAGTAAAAATATTCAGAACCCCCAAAAACCTTATACTAACTAAAATTTGAACCTTTATATCTAACCTCTATCTTACTCTAAAGTTGCATCCTAATCCTAAATTTTAGCCAAAAATATATTAATACTAACAACACCTATAGTGCATTTTATAATTACTGTAGTTAAATTATTGCAAGTATAATAACTAATATAGAATTTATAAATAAATTACTTAAATAGACAACCAAAAATTATATATAGTTAGATTGTATTTTTAAAATATATTAAAACATAATATCTTAATATGGCAAAAATACTATTCTAACATGGTCTCACCATTAATATTCAAAAAAAAAAAATACTATTCTTGATAGATCATTAGTAATGTTTCTAATAGGGTAGAAAAAAACATACGGTTCTTGATAGGGTTCTTAAAAAAACTTCATACTACTATAAAGAAGTATATGAAACAAATTAGGATTAGAGTTCAATTTTAGAACCCCATAAGGAACAGTACTCAAATAATTTTTCTTTTACACCGGTACTGCAGATCCATCAGGAATAGTAATTTTGCCTTAATATGTATTTAAAAAAAATTTTTTTTTACGTATATGTATTTAAAATTAGATTTAGAGTTTGAAAAGGGTTTTTGAGAACGTACGTACGTACGTATACGTAATATTTTTATTTAGAACATATTTGATTAATTAATCATAGATATAAAACACCATAGGTATATTTTAGTAAAGAAAAATATAAATATATTGACTTTATTTATAGAGAATTTCTATTTATACGTCATGTGTATATACACAGGATATTGTTATTTCTTAAAATTTTTATTAATAAAGCTACCTTTGAGGTTCTAACAAAAAAGATTCTTTATATAAGCTATACCTTTCTTTGAGCTCAAAACCTAATGTTCAACGGGTTAACTTTTGTTAATAAAAATTATAATTTGCATGAATGTACAAATCATTAATTAATACAAACTGTGTAAACTAAGAAATTTTCTATTTTATATGTATTGTTATAAAATTTGTAAACAATAGTACGTATCGGTATGCTCGAGAAACATTTGAAAGTTAAAAAATTAGAGTTTTAGAGTTTTATGTAGTATAATCTTTTTAATTAATTATATATTATTATATAAAGCTAAATTACTTATCGTTATACATCGTTAATATCAACCTATATACGTTAATATCAACTTAAGCCACAAGACAAATTTTATACTGTATATCAAAATTCCCTCATATATATCAACTTTACTATGATCCCTCTCACTATCAACATGAATATAAGAGTGATCCAAATGGGTTGATATTAGTGAGGGTCAAGTGTACTACAAAAGATTTATAAATCATATATTTTGTATAACGATCTTTTGGTAGAAATTGCTACGTATAATAAAATTACCTAGGTAAGAAAGATACAATCTCTACTCATTTTGGCCTGTTCCGGTCGGTTTCAGATTTATTTTAAGTCGATCCGATTTTTCGGTTCGGATCGAGTCTTTGCTAATATGGGTCATAAAATCACAGTTTGACACTTACTTTCAAATAGGGATTTTCCTAGCGATCCATATGAACAATGGGCTATGAAAATCCAAACATTAATTTTTCCAGACCACACATGTTTATATACATATATATATGGGTAATTATTTTGAACCCGGACCAATTTTAGATGTATCAATATGACATAAATAATAACATTTTGGTCTGGATTCAAAAATAATTACCCATATATATATATATATTAGTGCTCGAGCGTCGAGAGGGAAAATCAGTGAGTACCTAAAAAATTATGATCGGAGTTTTGATAATTTCATAATTTCATTAATACGTATACAATAATTTATTACTGAAATTATCAAAATGCCGATCATAATTTTTGTAGGGACCAAATTTTTACTTACCTCTCGAGCACTCATATCGATATATAGATCTATCTAAAATGTATTAAATAATTTATATAAATCATTTTTATGCATAAAAAAATTTTTTTGGAATACTCAACCCGTTAAAAATATTTATTTTTTTAAACTTAACAACTTGAAATATTTGTTCTTTATTGTACATGTTACAAACTCAAGTCACAATCAACGATTAATCAATGATTTTTTTTTTTTTCCTTTTTTTTTAATAACGATAACTAATCTTTACACCACCGATTTTCATATCAATTACGGTTTTAGCTGCAAGGTGTGTATAGGTATCCAACCAAAAGTACAACATTATAAGAAATTAAATTAATATAAACGTACAAAAAAAATTCTATATTAAAGAAACAGAATAAAAATAACATACATATTAACATGTGTTAAAGTACTTTTAAGGCTGTACATTTTTTTTATATCTCTATAGGTTAATTTCTCTTACTACGTTTATTATTATATTCCACATCATTATCTGGTGGATCGGGTAATGGAGGAGATCTTTGTCTTGTGGAATTAGCAACAACCGGATTTTCAGAATTGGTATAGGAAGTTGATGAAGGAGATGAAGATAAAGGAATCCTTTGTGATTTGGAAGTGTCATCATCTTTTTCGTATCTATTGTTTTCAGGGGGATTCAATAGATTACTATCAGAACCAAAACTTAAAGAAGTATTCGGATGTGATGCTCGTCGATTCGATGAATTAACAGACTGTGTAAGAGTCGGAAGTGTTGATGAACGATGTGGAGTATGATGAACATACTGAGATGAAGATTGTGGATTATGCGAATTTGTGGGAGGTTTTGACAAAGTTCTACTAAGACTTGAATTTGGTACCGGTTCAAGGGAACGATGCCGAATATAATTAGGGTTAGAGCGAAGATGAGGAGAAAAAGGAATTTCTGGTAACATGGACAAAGGACTATGCGGAGGAATTTTAGACGATCTGTGTGGATCTGAGAATGATGAACGATAATCAACATCCGATACTTGCGAAGGATGATATGGGGAAGAAGATTCAACCCCGACCATAGGCTGTGGGGTAGACATAGATCGACTTGGATGCATTCCTTCTCTGGGATAGTTAGATGGGTGATATGGCATCATAGGGTAAGATGAAGGAGGTACATCATTTTGGCCAAATTTTGCAATTTCAGCTTGTATACAATCCACTTTTTAAAGACAAAAATAAAAGATTAGCAATCGGATGAAATTGAATTGAAAATTTTAATATTGCTAACAAATTTTAGTAAATAAAATAAGATCTAAAATATTTCGCCAGAGGAAAGTAATAATAGCGCTAAGGAGAAATATTTCATAAAAATATCGTGAATGTAAGCATATAAAACGTACAGTCAAACTTTCGTTTTAAGCTCCTTGGATCATTAGAATTTTCTAAATAAAAAAATATATATATTATAGAAAGTTAATGGGTTTTTTAAAATATTATAAATAATGAATCAATGCAAAAACATACCTTCTCGGAATGTGGAAGAAAGAAAATTTGCGATATCAGTAATTACCTGTAAAATCAAGAGGAGAATATGACAATTATTTAATTAAATATAAAAAGATTAAATGTATGAAATTTAAGGTAATACACAATACCTTTTCGTGTTTTGACTGTTGCATTCGACATGAAACAGTTTCAGCGTAAAGGAGACTAAAATTTTCATTCATTTGACGCATTCTTTCCGTAATATCAGACATTTGATTTGTCAAACATTCAATTCTTTCATCACGCATAGCATCAGCAGTAATATCTAAAGGCAGACCGGGATCTGCACCGGGTAAACCCCCTTTCCCAGAATTAATTGGAATAGAATGATGTTTTGAACTTTTACGTTTAATATTTTGTAAGGCAGCAAGCTGCCCTCGACGAAATTCAGGATGTTTGAATTCCCATGCTTGACTTTCACTTGTTGGGTTCGCGTGAAACATATCATTCACTTTAGTAAATAAATATATATATATATATATATATATATATTGAATATATAAACAATTAAGATCTAGAAATTTTGAATATATGAAATAATATGATAATAAAATTACCTTTATGAAATCCGTACACTAATAAATTCAAAGGTTCGAACAATCAAATTTTTGATAAGGTTGAGTAATCATTTATAAATCAATAAGGTTGTAAAACTCACTGTTTAATTGTCTAACAAAACTTTGCCAATTGTTATGTTTAAAATATTGTGGCAGGACCGTTTTTGAAAATTCGGTTGGATTAGATACACTAAAAACGTCACCGGAAGGAGCCCAGGAAATCAAATGCTGTATTGACTGATCTTCCACCATTCTGACGTAAATAAAAAAAAAAAAATCAGAAATAAGAATCGGGATGAATAGCGCACAATAATCTCAATAATCTCAATAATCTCAATAATCTGATAGTCGTAATATTTTTCTATGAGAGTCAATTGAAATTGATTACAATGATCATGCAATAAATCATCACATTTAATGTTATATATATCGAAATCTCGTAATAACGCACAATACACATAACGAGTCAGTCGGATTTTTGCGGAAAGATCTTATGGGAAGGAGCAATGAAAGAAGACTTACGTGTACAATTTGTTCACAAAGGCGGCCTGCGTTTTGTGTGTTGCAACTGTTGTTGTCGTCAAATTATTTGCAGTAGAATTAGACGACGGAGTGCTCTGTAAGGTGGTGGAAGGCGGAGAAGAGGTAAGAACTGGAGCAGAAATAAGCGACTGGTCATTTTGCGGAGAGGTAACTAGAGGAGTTATAGTAGGGGAGGCTGGAGAAGAAGTTGGAAGAATAGTAGAAGCCGATGGTTCAGATTTTGGAACACATTGGTCACTGGTACTACTACTATTCTTATCTCTCTGAGAGTTTTCGACGCTAGCGTCCGTCTTTGCGTCACTGTTGTTTGAATCCATGATAGGATTTATAGTTACTTGAATGACCGAAGCCAGGGTAATCCAGACAGAAGAATGGGATAATATTTGAAATTTAAAGTAATTTTAAAGTAACTTTAAGAAATTTAAAGGTTTTTTTTTTCTTTTTTTTGTTTTAAGTGAAAAAGGTTGTATAGATTGCGTATATATTCGTGTATGTGTATATATATGTGAGACAAAACTACAGAAAAGAATTTTTTTTTTTCCAGAAAAAAAAAAATAATAATAATAAAATTAAAGAACGGTTATCAATGTATGATTATTTTTTCTGATAACGTTCGGTTAATTGAATGGCAAAAAAAACTAGAGAAACCAAAAGGCAATTAAGCAAGCGAACTTTATTAAGACTTGCAGCATACATATAGCAAATTACGATAAGATGCGGGGCCACTGATGTGCTAAAAAGGAATACATAGAAGAATACTCATAGAATGTTCGCCAGATATAATGACAAGATGAAGGCCAGGATTTTTTTGCCTCGTGGGGTGATACTAGTTTCCAAATGCCAAAAAACAGTGGTGATTGCTAACCAAGAAAATGAAAAAAAAACAGTATTAAAAATATCCTTAAATAATCAGCGATAATATATGGAAAAAGGAAATCGCCGAGAATTGCTGTAGGTTTTTCCGTTCCTGTTCTTTTGTTTGCTTATATAAAAGCCTCTACATAGTGTTTGAATCAAATATCCATAAATAGAACATACGAATAAGTAAAGTCAGGTTACGCAACGCTATTTATCACCTGATTATAGTAACACACTTGTTTTATTCTTTATTGTTTCCTTTATTGTTAGATCGATTAAAGGGTACATTTCTAGCGCGAAAGAACAAATTCGGATATTATTATTTTTTGGAAAATGTCATGAAATAATTAATTGTCTAGTCGATATGCTAAAATTTCTCGTTTAATCAACACGGCGCAACTCACGTATTTAGTATTACCGAAATCCGGTTTGATTACACGTATTTAGAATTACCGAAATCCGGGTTGACTACACGAATTTAGCATTACCCAATCTGGATTTTACGGGATTAAGAAGTATAACTATAATTTCCTTTATTGTAATTCACTAAAATTCACTAAAATTCATAAAATTCACTAAAATTCACTAATGATACATCAGTTCATTCAGATTATCTACGTGTAAATAACGAAGCTATAGGTGGATCAAGACTAGCAATTGTATCCGGTAGAATTTACAGAAGCCTATCTTATCTGAATAGCCCGTGATTTCTTAGCATCCATTTTGTTGATTGAAATTAATGACTTGTAATACTGCAAGATAGAACTTTCCATTGCAGGTAGCCTGACGCGAGCAAATTATTATTTTCAACATATTACTTGAAATTTTTAATGATCCAATTCCTACGACCTTTTTCTTTTGATAATGTTATCATTTTATCAATAACAAATAAAGATATCAATCCTTAATAAATTTTTCCTGTAATATTCAGTATATCGTGTTGTATTGGCGCTTAATTTGATTTGTTGAACATTGAAAAAAAAAGCAAATATGGGGTGTCTCGTATTAAAAGAGCCATTTTGACATATCAACAATTTTGAGTAAATCAAATTTAAATAGAAACATCTAAAATTTTTTACTTTAAGTTCATAATTAGCTTTTAGTAAATTTTTTTTATTGTAATACGGTCTGATCCAGGCATCGTTAATTCAAGTCTGAAGTTTGCAGATCGGTTTTCCAAAACGGCGGATGCCTGAAATTTGAATTTTAATATACAGTAGTTAATCTGCTATATACGTAGTAGTTTTTTTCAATCACCTTACCCTTAAATATGATTGGGAATTTCCGTTCTTGGTAAAAATACACACCTGTTTACGTCATTATTTGGATAATCCATATACGTGCGTGTTGTACATAAAACAAAAAAAAATAAACTGAAACTTGTGTTATATCGTAATTCTGGATTTTAACATTAACAAAATATGGAGAACTGGTATTTCACCCTTAATAACTCTGAGAAATTTTGATCAAGTCAATATACATTTGTGAAAATCAGTTCTTAAGAAATTACAGTCAATTATTGATATAACTCACATCCTTACACCAGAATTACCAGTTTAACGAAGTTTCAAATCTTTAATAGGAAATTCTAAACGGTTATGACGGATTCAATATGTAGTAAAAAGAACATTATTGATAAATTTCATTCTTATTTAGAATTTAACCAACTATAACGGTTACACGACATATTTGATTTTTTTTAACTGGTTTGTTATCAATTCCGCTTTTTGTTACTATATATATTTTTTATTGCGTTTCTACGTTATTTGATGGTAGAGTTGCAGTATACGTACAAAAATAAATGATATGACAAGCCATTTTATTTTTACTAACCTTTTTTTATATAAGCCAAAAATCTACAATGCCATATAACACGATACAAAAATATCCATTATGAAATGAAATACCTTGGACCTTGGATACTGTGGTCTACGCTATATGAACAACCTAAATTTTTTTTCTGTACAATATTTTTGTATTTTATCTAACAATAGTTTAAATTCTAATTAATTATAAAAAAAAAAAAAAAAAAAATGAATGGTTAATTGAGCTGGAATAAAAAGGAGCGGAGTGGAAGACTTTAGAGCCTTACTCTATAGTTGCAATATTTAGTATCACAGTTTTAACTTCAATGTGATGTTATTTATCACATTGTTTGAGTCATTCCATATGGCAACTATACCCTCCTCTTAAGAATTCGGACACTGTAATTATGATAAATTTTAAGCTATTCTTTTAGACCTTTAATCAACAATTAGCTCGCTGAAAACCCATGATTGTAATTATTTTCGCAAAATCAAATTGATCAAAAAATTGAAAGAAAATATAAGCAAATCCACAAATCAAGGGCACGGCACAATCACATAACTTTTCGACAATCTGAATCTAACTATATCGCTTTAACTATATCGCTTTAGCTATAAATTATTGTAATTTTTTTTTTTTCTGGTTTGTATTCTTTATTGTATTTCTTATTTGTATTTTTTATCATACTTAAAACAGCTTAAAGGAATAATAAGAAATAAAAGTTAAACCCTTATATAAAATAATTCGGATAAACAAATTTATTTCGTTAATTTGTAAGCAAAATTCCACTTAATATCGTCTGTTTGCCCAATTTATTGGTGTAATCTTTCGATTGCCGGTAATGCT